TGGGGACACGTGTCGACCAACGGAGGGGTCGAAAATGGACACGTGTCGCGACTACAACTGCCCAAACTCGTTTGTATAAGATATAAGAGAGATATACATATATTATTTATTTATTTTATGTTTTAGAATTTTTAATACAATGACTAATTAGAATTAAACATTCTACAAATTTATTAAAAAAATACTATTTAATCATTTGTATTCTTATAACTACAAATGGTTATTTTACTCTTTTCCTGATAAATTACCTAAATAATATTTTCATATCAATATTATTTAACATTATCTATATCTCTAAATATAAAATAACAATGTAAATCAAATATAATAAGCATTTCTTGCCATTATGCATTAATTACATTCTAATTATAGAAATTTTACACAATTTCTTAAAACAAAACCTCGAAACATTAATTCCAATCAGTTTTAACTTCCATCGACAGTCGTATTTATTGTTTTAAAAAAAATATTCCATAATATTTGATTAAACACTAAATCCAGTTGTTTAGAATCAATTCTATTTAAAAGCAATATTATTATGGAATCAAATATTATGAAGTATCATTTTAAAATCAATATAATTATGGAATCAAATAATTTAACAAAGATTCAATATTTTTAATTCAATCTATATCTCTTTTTAGACTTTTCAATTCATTTTAATATAACATAAATTTGTCGTAAACATGAGAGCAGAACTTTACATAATCATGGTATCAATATTAATAATATGATGATAAATAAAAAATTTAATTATTGGGGAACATATGGGAAGTTCGCCTGGAAGTTCTGTTCCTGGACTGTACACTTTATTATATACATATAAATAAATCGCATATTTAAACTTTAATTTCTTTTTCATATATAGTTATACAATATATGCAACTTAACTACAAGTAAAAAATATAGTTAGTTTTTTGAGCTACAACTTAACTATAATATATTCGCCCGATATCATTATTTTTTTTATCAATTTAGTTATGAAATATTTTTTTCATTTAAAAATAGTGATTTTGTAACGCCCATATTTTATTAATAAAGGAAAATACTAGCTTTTAGTTTTAATCTAGCCTTTGTTATTAAATAATCATGTTTATGTTCAAGTCCGAGTTAATCAGCTAGTTCGACTATTAGTCAATAAATTATTCGGTTTAATTAGTTCAATAACTGAATAAGTTTCCAGATTTAATTCCGATTGATTTCATTAGTTAATGAATTCGGAATTATTTAGCTAAGTTGACGAATGATTCGGAATATCAATATTCGGATTAATCGTCCAAGTGAAGAATTCGAAATTATTTATTATTTCGAATTAAGATATTTCAGTCGAGATTACCGGAAATTATTTTCGACGTCCCGTTTACGATTGGAATAATTTTTTGTAATTAAGTATTATGCTTAATTATTTAATTAAGCATTTAATTGTGATTAATTAGCAATTAATCACAATTAACATATAAAAAGCCATAGGTAACTTTTAAGTCGGTTCAAAAGCCGTGACTTAGATTACTTCATGGGGAGGAAATTTTACTCCTTTTCATAGCATGAGGTGGCACCCAAAGGAGGTCTATAAGATGATTCATCAAATGGAGCCTCTAAGTTTGAAGCACTTGGCACAAGGAAAAAAAACCACATCCTCATTACATCATCTCACATTCTCACGGCTTTATATATAAAAGGGTACTTGGAAAATTTTTCCTCACTTTTCTTCAGCCCATATATAGCATTATATTCATAGTATAGAGAGTGAGAGAGATCGGAGAAATTTTAACCAAGCAAGAAGGTTTAGTTGCACCACACCGCGCGTCTTAGCACCGCACGCCGAGGGATCATAGTACACGCGTGAACGCCGCACCTAGCGGAGTGTATCGAGCAGCAAGAGGTAATTTTATTACCTTGAGTTATTCATGTTATAAGCATGTTAGCTTTGAGTTATGCGTGTTCATAACATGGCCTTAGGCCGTTCGGCCATGCGAGTGCATCACGGGTATGCTCATGCTTTAAGTTAACGTCTCTCGAGCAATAGTCATGAAATCAGCCTTTTCATGTTATATCTTGTTATTTCAGTTTGTGTTGTTCGGGAGAATATTCGTGTGGTTCGGTGTTTCGGCCAAGGGGATGTGGTCGCGCATGTAGCGCACCACGGGCCGTACGCATGTGTCAAGTATGTTAAGTTTAAGTTCCTCGAGCACTTTATGTTATTTTGATCAGTAAATATCATGTCATGTTCAGTTGAGGTTGAATTGCCGAGAGGAAATGAAGTTTGGTCGTAAAACGGCTTATCGCCGTCGGCGGCGCACGATGCGTCCGCCGCGGCCGAGTTCAGTTTTTATGTAAAAATTCATGTTTTCAAGTTAACTCGGTATTTATATTCATGTCATGTTAGTTTAAGTCATTTGAAATCAGATTGCCCGAGAGTAGTTGCCGGACGGCCGGCAAGGGCCGGCCGTGGCCGCGCTGTCCGCACATAGCGGCAGCAGCGC